GGTCTTAGACAGGGATGTGTAATGTCACCATGGTTGTTTAATATATTTATAGATGGGATTGTACAAGAAGTAAATGCTAGGGTGTTCGGGAGAGTGGTGGGATTAAATTATGGGGAATCAAATACAAAATGGGAAATGACAAAGTTGCTTTTTGCTGATGATACTGTGCTTATGGGAGATTCTGGGAGTTTGGAAGTGTGTGTAAAGGTAGAAAGTTGAAAGTGAACATAGAAAAGAGTAAGGTGATGAGGGTAACAAATGATTTAGATAAAGAAAAATTGGATATCAAATTGGGGAGGAGGAGTATGGAAGAAGTGAATGCTTTCAGATACTTGGGAGTTGACATGTCGGCAGAAGGATTTATGAAGGATGAGGTTAATCATAGAATTGATGAGGGAAAAAATGTGAGTGGTGAGTTGAGGTATATGTGGAGACAAAAAAACATTATCTATGGAGGCAAAAAAGGGAATGTATGAAAGTATAGTAGTACCAACACTCTTATATGGGTGTGAAGCTTGGGTTGTGAATGCAGCAGCGAGGAGGCGGTTGGAGGCAGTGCAATGTGTGGTGTAAATATTATGCAGAAAATTCGGAGTGTGGAAATTAGGAGAAGGTATGGAGTTAATAAAAGTATTAGTCAGAGGGCTGACGAGGGTTTTTTGAGATGGTTTGGTCATTTAGAGAGAATGGATCAAAGTAGAATGACATGGAGAGCGTATAAATCTGTAGGGGAAGGAAGGCGGGATAGGGGTCGTCCTTGAAAAGGTTGGAAGGAAGGGGTAAGGGAGGTTTTGTGGGCGAAGGGCTTGGACTTCCAGCAGACGTGCATGAGCGTGTTCGATAGGAATGAATGGAGACGAATGGTATTTGGGACCTGACGATCTGTTGGAGTGTGAGCAGGGTAATATTTAGTGAAGGGATTCAGGGAAACCGGTTATTTTTATATAGCCAGACTTGAGTCCTGGAAATGGGAAGTACAATGCCTGCGCTCTAAAGGAGGGGTTCGGGATATTATCAGTTTGGAGGGATATGTTGTGTATCTTTATACATATATGCTTTTAAACTGTTGTGTTCTGAGCACCTCTACAAAAACAGTGATTATGTGTGAGTGCGGTGAAAGTGTTGAATGATGATGAAAGAATTTTATTTTGGGGGATTTTCTTTCTTTTTGGGTTACCCTGCCTCCGTGGGAGATGGCCGACTTGTTAAAAAAAAAAAAAAAAGTTAACAATTCATACTGAAAATTTGTCGAGCAATCATGGTCATAACCCTTTCAGGGTCCAAGGCCCAAATCTGGAGTCACGCACCAGTGTCCAAGAATTTTCAAAAAAAATTTTTTTATTTTTTCTTATGAAATCGTAGAGAATCTTTTTGTGAAGGTAATAAAACAAAAAGTACGAAATTTGGTGGAAAATTGACGAAATTATGCTCTCGCGAATTTTGATGTGTCAGCGATATTTACGAATCGGCGATTTTGCCAACTTTGACTCCCATTTTAGGCCAATTACATTATTCCAATCAACCAAATTCTTAGCTATTTCACTAGTATTACTTCTATTCTATCGATTGAGCACAAGAAATCGCCAAGCCAACTGTTTCAACTACAAAATAAAGTGATCGGAAATTGTTAATTTGGCCAATTTAACACAAAGTTCAAAATATTCCAATTTCAAAATAGGGTCCAGAATAAACAATGTAGGTATTCCTGGCACTAAACTAACATTTCCTCTGTTCATTAGTTATGTTTTGAGGCTTTACAAATAAATTCCATTTTGATTTTTTATTCACATAATGAATTTTTATTCACACCAAAAAATAGAAGATTTACTGTTATGCAATACTGTAATAATTGTATAAATATCATCACCATATTTGTGAATGTATATTAGACCCACCAGCTGACATGTATTAGACGTGTGAGGTCGTTTGTTTACTCTTGAATATCGGCAAAAATTTAACATTTCCGCTACTTTGAGCTCAGTTTCAAGCCATTTCCAGTGCTAAAACCAATCAAAATCATCTCTATTTCTGTAATATGTCTTCCATTCTATCAAATGAGACCAAGAAATCGCAAATACAACTATAAAAAACATACGAAAAAACACTGTAAAGTTGCTGTTTTAATCGAAAAATCATGATTTCAGTTTTTTTCTCTCATTATACACAGTGTGCTGCAGGATCTGTTTTATGTGGTGCACACATACCACATAGATGTATTCTCTCATATCTAGGCCCAAATGTACCACTCACAGTTTATCAGAGTGAGCTGAGCTCATGGCATAGATCTATGGTTTGGACAGTCACCATAAAGCCGTAGATCTACGGGACGGACCCTGAAAGGGTTAAATGAGACGAGCAAGTGGTTAAACAAGATGAGCATGTAGTTAAACAGAAAAGGGGTCTTGCTTTTTTTTATTAATCATTCATAAAAATTCCACTAAGCAAATTATTATTAAGTGAGGGATAACTGCACCAGTATACAGTACATCAGAAACAGTGCTGAAACAAACACAGAACTTTTCACGAGGAAGTTGGATGACTATTTCCATCAAGCGCCAAATCAACGTGGTTGATGGATATGAGAGATAGCAGGCTACCAACAACAGTAACCTGAGCAAAAAGACAATTAACAGAAATACCTAGTCCTAGGCCAGGCTGCCAAGGAGGACAAAAAAAGCAACTGACCACAGGTATACCATGCCAACTGACTCTTGTGCAGTGAATGGTTAATCTAGACTAGAAACCTTACTTATATATGTAAAAGAAAGTGGGATTCTCTGTGGAAAACCCAGAAAGTGCAACTGAGCTAAGCAGTAGTGTAGTTCATTCTTTGATTTACTTGAAATACACTTCTTACCAGGCTCTTCTGATAGCAGTTCATCAAACCAATCTACAGATGATATTTATCATACAGTGGAACCTTGGTATACGTCGACTTGGTATTCAACCTTTATTTGGAATACAACTCGTGTGCTAGAACTTGTATGGGTCAAAAAGATAAAGATGCCGCCAATGAATTTGTGGAGGCTGAGGGTTTTGTTCCCCAACAAGTTTTTAATTGTGACAAAACAGGCCTGTTTTGGAAGAAAATGCCTAACAGGACCTATATTACACAAGAGGAGAAGGCATTACCAGGACACAAGCCAATAAAGGATAGGTTAACTTTCTTATTCTGTGCCAATGCAAGTGAGGCCTCTACTGATCTACCACTCTGAACACTCGAGGGCCTTTAAAAAACATAACGTGCAGAAAACTCAGTTACCTATGATGTGGAGGTCAAATGGCAAGGCTTGGGTAACCAGAGACTATTTCAGCAAATGGTTTAATGTTGTGTTTGGGCCAAGTGTAAAAAGTTATTCAGAGGAAAAAAACCTGCCTCTGAAGGCCCTCCTCATAATGGACAATGCTCCAGCTCACCCTCCAAGCCTGCAGGACTATGTGCTGCCGGAGATTGACTTCATCAATGTAAAGTTTCTCCCCCTAACACGACTCCTCTCATTCAGCCCATGGATGAGCAGGTCATCAGTAATTTCAAAAAACTCTACACTAAAGCACTACACCTACCGACTTACGACCTGTTCGACATACGACCATTTGACTTACGACCGTGTTTTGTATGCCAAATTTCTGGGAAATAAACAACTGTTTGTGTTGTACACAGTGTTTATCCTAAACCTTACAGTATAAAATACAGTACTAACAGCATAAAAAGTAAAGTAAAAAATGAAATACCAAAATAAAACAATAAAATAAAGCCATTACAAAAATGTGATGTTGATATTCAGTAGTAAGGTTCGACTTGCGTCCATTTCGACTTACGACCGGTGGGTCGGAACCGAACTTGGTCGTAAGTCAGATGGTACCTGTATTCCAGAGGTGCTTTGAAGTGACCTCTGACACAGAGTTAACCTTGAGAGAGTTTTGGAGAGATCACTTTACTATCACCTATTGCATAACTCTCATTGACAAAGCCTGGCAGGAAGTTTCATACAGAACAATGAACTCTGCTTGGAGGAATTTGTGGCCAGAAGCAGTGGCTGAAAGGGACGAGGGCTTTGAGGCTGTGTCTATAGTGGAGGATATTCTCTCTCTGGGCAGGTCCATGGGTCTGGATGTGAGTGATGGTGATGTGGAGGAGTTAGTGGAGGGGCACTGGGAAGAGCTGACCAGTGAGGAGCTGCAGGAACTTGAGGAGGAGCACAAGACTAAGATGAATGCACTCTCTTCAGGCTCGGAAAAGGAGATACAGGAAGCCCCTACTTCAATAATCAAGGAAATCTTTGCCAAATGGATGGATATCAAAAACTTTGCAGAGAAGTACCACCCCAACAAAGCCCAAATAAGCTGTAATAGCATTGCCTGGGATGACCAGACAATGTCACAGATTTTTGGTAAAAGCCAAACCTGGTGAGCTTCAACCTGGTCTAAATAGGGAAAAGAGACAGAAAAGAGAAGGGGACTCTCCTTCCAAACAATAACATTTCCTCCTCCTCCCTTCTCAGCACTATCCTAATAGGCACTCGACACTTTTCAGCAAAGTAAAGTGAGATTAAATTTGTATTTATTAACACAAATTAAATTTGTATTTTGTATTTATGTATGTATTCTAGTATTAAGTAGTGTTTAAATTACATATTTTAGTATTAAGCAGTTTAAAACCTTTTATACAACCCCATCAATGTATAATATGCCAATTACAATAGGATTTTTTTTTCATGGGAACAGATTAGTAGTTATCCCTATATTTCTCATGGAAAAATTTGTTTGGTATACGTCCTGTTTGGCATAAGTCTGAAGTCCTGGAATGGATTAAGGACATAGACAGAGGTACCACTGTACTTCAAAAAGTACTTAAACTGTACTATTATTAGGTCTTTTTGTTAATTAAATCTGTTGCTAAAATAATTTAATTGGCTTATGACTACAGGTAGTATTTAAAAACCCCAAGTTACTGCAACAGAGATGCTACCAATACTGTAAACATAATCCAACACACTTACCATTTCCATCAATTTTTGAACGACCATAGAGAGGATTGAAGGTGCCAGGAATACTTAAGTTGTCAATCTTGCTCCCGAAGCGCACTTCATGAATCACGTGTGCAAAGTCTATATTTTCTGGCTGCTGCTCTGCTGAATGTGTTGACACATGGAAGTTGCCTGTAATGTCAAAGGTAGCACATAAGACAACTTCCCTCTTTTTACTGATGTCAGTAACAGTATTATTATTACTATTCATGGGGAGTGCTAAACCCATAGAGATCATGTAGTGCCTGGGGAAATGAGAGGTAATCACACTTAGGAATAACACAATAGTTATGTTCTTGAAAACGGCTTCTTACACTAAATCACCTAAATCAAACCAAAAAACATATGTTAAAAAAAAAATTTTGTTTTAAGTTTTGTAATTTATTAAAAATTAAGTCTCCAGGTAAACATTTTTTTTTTTTTAACAAGTCGGACGTCTCCCACCGAGGCAGGGTGACCCAAAAAGAAAGAAAATCCCCAAAAAGAAAATACTTTCATCATCATTCAACACTTTCACCTCACTCACACATAATCACTGTTTTTGCAGAGGTGCTCAGAACACAACAGTTTAGAAACATATACGTATAAAGATACACAACATATCCCTCCAAACTGATAATGTCCTGAACCCCTCCTTTAGAGTGCAGGCATTGTACTTCCCATTTCCAGGACTCAAGTCCGGCTATATAAAAATAACCGGTTTCCCTGAATCCCTTCACTAAATATTACCCTGCTCACACTCCAACAGATCGTCAGGTCCCAAATACCATTCGTCTCCATTCACTCCTATCGAACACGCTCATGCACGCCTGCTGGAAGTCCAAGCCCCTCGCCCACAAAACCTCCCTTACCCCTTCCTTCCAACCTTTTGGAGGATGATCCCTACCCCACCTTCCTTCCCCTACAGATTTAAAGGCTCTCCATGTCATTCTACTTTGATCCATTCTCTCTAAATGACCAAATCACCTCAACAACCCCTCTTCAGCCCTCTGACTAATACTTTTATTAACTCCACACCTTCTCCTAATTTCCACACTCCGAATTTTCTGCATAATATTTACACCATACATTGCCCTTAGACAGGACATATCCACTGCCTCCAACTGCCTCCTCGCTGCTGCATTCGCAACCCAAGCTTCACACCCATATAAGAGTGTTGGTACTACTATACTTTCATACATTCCCTTCTTGCCTCCATAGATAACGTTTTTTGTCTCCACATATACCTCAACGCACCACTCACCTTTTTTCCCTCATCAATTCTAAGATTAACTTCATCCTTCATAAATCCATCTGCCGACACATCAACTCCCAAGTATCTGAAAGCATTCACTTCTTCCATACTCCTCCTCCCCAATTTGATATCCAATTTTTCTTTATCTAAATCATTTGATACCCTCATCACCTTACTCTTTTCTATGTTCACTTTCAACTTTCTACCTTTACACATACTCCCAAACTCATCCACTAACCTTTGCAATTTTTCTTTAGAAATCTCCCATAAGCACAGTATCATCAGCAAAAAGCAACTGTGTCAATTCCCATTTTTGTATTTGATTCCCCATAATTTAATCCCACCCCTCTCCTGAACACCCTAGCATTCACTTCTTTTACAACCCCATCTATAAATATATTAAACAACCATGGTGACATTACACATCCCTGTCTAAGACCTACTTTTACTGGGAAGTAGTCTCCCCCTCTTCTACACACCCTAACCTGAGCCTCACTATCCTCATAAAAACTCTTTACAGTATTTAATAACTTGCCACCTATTCCATACACTTGCAACATCTGCCACATTGCTCCCCTATCCACTCTATAATCTGCCTTTTCTAAATCCATAAATGCAATAAAAACATCCCTACCTTTATCTAAATACTGTTCACATATATGCTTCAATGTAAACATTTGATCTACACATCCCCTACCCACTCTGAAACCTCCTTGCTTATCCGCAATCCTACATTCTGCCTTACCTCTAATTCTTTCAATTATAACCCTACCGTACACTTTTCCCGGTATACTCAGTAAACTTATTCCTCTATAATTTTTACAATCTCTTTTGTCCCCCTTCCCTTTACATAAAGGGACTATACATGCTCTCCGTCAATCCCTACGTACCTTTCCCTCTTTCATACATTTATTAAACAAAAATACCAACCACTTCAACACTATATCTCCCCCTGCTTTTAACATTTCTGTCATGATCCCGTCAGTTCCAACTGCTTCACCCCCTTTCATTCTACGTAATGCCTCGCGCACCTCCCCCACACTCACATCCTGTTCTTCTTCACTCCTAAAAGATGGTATACCTCCCTGGCCAGTGCATGAAATTACCGCTTCCCTTTCTTCGTCGACATTTAAAAGTTCCTCAAAATATTCTCGCCATCTACCCAAAACCTCCATCTCCCCATCTACTAACTCCCCTACTCTGTTTTTAACTGACAAATTCATTTGTTCTCTAGGGTTTCTTAACTTGTTTAACTCACTCCAAAATTTTTTCTTATTTTCATAAACATACTATACATAAAATCATTTGAAAAATTAATCATGAAAAATCTAGTAGTATGTACTGCATAATAATAAAATGGTGTAAGAGGGTGATGTTGGTTATAAACTGCTATGCCTCCAGAGCTCCCAGTGGTGAGCAGGTTTAATACAGTGTATGTTGTGGTGACCCTATAAACTTTAGACAATCTATCAGTGTATTTTACCCAACACTGTTTCACTAGTTATCCTAAGAAAATTGCCAAAAGTAATTCTAATGATCTTTAACCCCTTAACTGTCCAAACGTAGATCTATGTTTTTACCGCTAGCACTCCAAACGTAGATCAAAGTTTTATTTTTCCTGCCTCCAAATTTGGGACAATTGGTCTGAAATGCCTGGTCAGTATAAAATGGGTCTTAACACTTGGTGGGCACAGTATTAAAAAATCTGGGACCACTTAGTACCATGTGGGAGCACCAGTTCAATTGAGCGCCAGCTAGAGCAAAGAGCGTGGCAAACGCCAGGGATTCACTGATGTTGTGTCATATTAACACTCCCCTTTTAAGAGGAAAGTGATGTTGACTCCGAGTTTAGTGGCTCCGAGATGGATATGGCCACAAGTGGGTGAGGAAATATCAAAAACCTCAATAACCCATGCGCAACATTTATGCAACACCCTTTCAATTTTGATACCACTGGTAGTGTCATCCTGCCAGAATGTCCTATAACCTATACCCTAAGTAAAGAGAAACAATTCTGGAACACGTGTAATAAGTGTTTGGCAGGCCGGGTGGCTGGCTGGCTAGGTGATTGACTTCAGCTGTCTCTATCTCTGTCTGTAGCTATCTCTGCCTGTCCCTATCTATCTGTATCTCTGTCACTATCTCTGTCTCTATCTCTGTCTCTATCTCTGTCTTTATCTCTGTCTTTATCTCTCTGTCACTATCTCTCTGTCACTATCTCTCTGTCACTATCTCTGTCACTATCTGTCACTATCTCTCTGTCACTATCTGTCACTATCTCTCTGTCACTATCTCTCTGTCACTATCTGTCACTATCTCTCTGTCACTATCTCTGTCACTATCTCTGTCACTGTCTCTCTGTCACTGTCTCTCTGTCACTGTCTCTCTGTCACTGTCTCTGTCTCTGTGTCTCTGTGTCTCTGTGTCTCTGTGTCTCTGTATCTCTGTGTCTCTGTATCTGTGTATCTCTGTGTCTCTGTATCTCTGTGTCTCTGTATCTCTGTGTCTCTCTATCTCTGTGTCTCTCTATCTCTGTGTCTCTCTATCTCTGTGTCTCTCTATCTCTGTGTCTCTCTATCTCTGTCTCTCTCTATCTCTGTCTCTCTCTATCTCTGTCTCTCTCTATCTCTGTGTCTATCTCTATCTCTGTGTCTATCTCTATCTCTGTGTCTATCTCTGTGTGTCTCTATCTCTGTGTCTATCTCTGTGTCTCTCTATCTCTGTCTCTATCTCTGTGTCTCTGTATCTCTGTGTCTCTCTATCTCTGTGTCTCTCTATCTCTGTCTCTCTCTATCTCTGTCTCTCTCTATCTCTCTGTCTCTGTATCTCTCTCTCTCTGTCTCTCTCTCTCTCTCTCTCTCTCTGTCTCTCTCTATCTGTCTCTATCTCTGTCTCTCTCTATCTCTGTCTCTCTGTATCTCTGTGTCTCTGTCTCTCTGTGTCTCTGTCTCTCCATCTCTGTCTCTCTGTGTCTCTGGATCTCTGTCTCTGGATCTCTGTCTCTGGATCTCTGTCTCTGGATCTTTGTCTCTGGATCTCTGTCTCTGTATCTCTGTTTCTGTATTTCTGTCTCTGTATCTCTGTCTCTGTATCTGTGTCTCTATCTCACAGATACACATAAATAATTGTACATAGTGTAAATTACCTAGGATAACCCATAAACTCCAGACAAAGTGCTATACTGTGCTTGTAGATATAAGACATAATAAGCATGACTGACAAGTAATAAGCATTTTCACTTGTTCAGGAATCAGACATGACTACTCTGCCTCTCTGCATCGTGTGTAATACCTGTTGGTTCTGAGACAGAAAGAGAGACAAGCAGACAGAGACAGGAAGACAGACACACAGGCAGATAAACAGAGACAGTGTTAGACAAATAGACAAACAGATAGACAGATTGACATGTTTATATGTAACAGTGAAAACAAACAAACAGCCAAGGTAGTGCACGATCATCAAATGTCACTCCACTGCTGCATTGTCAGCAGTGGAGTGACACTTGTCTTACACAATGCTTCAAGGAGTTTCATATATACTCCAGCATGTCTAAAACATTGCTGGGACCTATAAATACTTTGTATATATTTCTAGACAACAGTAAGTGACCAGGGCAGGTGAAAATGTTCACCTGTCAGTGTGTTTGTGGCTATCTGAGTACTATTTCAGTACCTAATATTAGTGTCAGAACAAACATTGGCTATGAAATCACAAGAAATACTACAAATTGTAATTATCAGGGGGCAGGTCCGAGTGTGCTCGGACCTGAACGCATGGTTTTTGCGCATGTCCTCCTACTCCCCCCGCGCATCTGGGTTCCCATTCTCTATTTCTGACCAATCAGAAGCCTTCCCTGAGTCGCTCCAGCTAAGTGCCGATAGCGTCTCCTTGCTTCCCA